CTGCCACATTTTCCTCAAAACAAATGAATGGAATTGATGAACATAAACCTGACATGTCATATACAAAAACTGGTGATGAAAAAATAAGAAAATCATGGTAAAAATAAAGAAAAATCTAAACTACTCAACTAGTTCACAAACTTTCAAGCAGCACTGTATATATATATATATAATTTTTTTATTATTATTTATATTCTATGTGAATGTTATTTTTACCCATGTTTTAGCAGTTTGCTTTTTCTTTATTTTTACTGTTTTTGTTTTTCTTTACAGCACTTTGGTCAGCTGTGATAGTTTTTCAGATCAAATTGAATTTGATTTTTTCCAAAGCTCTGATGCCTTCATGAAGTTATTCCTAGAGCCCTGATGTCAACAGTCTGTAGATTTAAACAAAAATACCCTGCAGTGCTGAGGCAGCCTTCTGTTCTGCTTAAAGCAGCAGGTTAGGGTAGCAGGTCGACCTCCCCAAGATGGCGCCCGTAATTTTTGCTTCTTTGATACAGAATTTAATCCACAGAGGTGAATGATTTATTGTCTTTACAAGGAACTCTATGATTTCAAAATCTGCTGGTCTAAAGTGAACTATCAGCTTCCTAAACATAGAAGGAAACCGGTTAAGTTTGCAACATTTACAGTTTTCAGAGTCTTTCAGGGGTGCTAAAACTAAATGGCAAGCCATCATAGCATTTAATAGCTAGACTGGACGTTTATTACCAACATCTTTAACCTCATTATGCCATGTTATAACTCTCGTTGAAGATATCTCTAAATACTTTTTGACTTGTTAAATTTTTAATTAAAGACACATATTAGTACAACACACAAGTCAGAAGTTTGGGTTTTTAATTACTGTGAATCAGAAATGTATGGAAGCCCGTTTCCGCCAGTCAAAAAAAAAAATCTCATTATGAGTTACTATCTCATTATATGGAGATACTATCTCATTATATTGAGTTACTATCTCATATATAATGACATCATTTTTTTTTTTTTACAGTGGCGGAAACGGGCTTCCATAGAAATGTGTTGAGGAAGCAAAGAACAAATTAATTTGTTTCTTTAAACTTTTTAGGTTTTAATCACACAGCTTATGTGCGGATTTTACTGCTCTAAAACTGCGCATGTTTAAAATTTACAGATCACAAGAAATTTTAATCTAGAAAGGCATTTAAGAATCAGGTTTAATAGAACCCATCTTTTCTTTTTTCAGTTTGACACCATCGTTTACAATTTACAAAAGCGACCTGCGAGTAAAAAGGGATACGCTCTCTCTGCCAGGACCGCTACTCGCTTTCCTCCTAACAAGGTAATTTGTCTGGAATAAAGTCTGTCACACAACTACCTGCTTTTGAGACATCAAAAGCAAAGCACCCTAACTCCATCAAAAACGTCAAGTTGAAAGTAGTCCACTATTTTATTTTATTTTTTTCAGAATTCAGAGATTAAAGTCAGAATATTGACTTTTCCCCCCCATACTAAACAGAAATAAAATCTGTTAACTTTTTTTCCCCCCAATTGGCCCTAATCCTCTTCCGTACGTTAGAGAAAAACCCATTTGTTGACAGAATTTATTATTTTTTCCTCACCTTTTCATTAAATGGCTTCTGATAGTTTTCTTCTTGAGTCGTGGGACTTAAAGTGTTAAGTATATTCATTTAAAATATTAATCTTGTATTAAAGGAATAGTACACCCAAAACATGATTAGCCTTCATTTTCTACTCACCCTCATGCTGAACAACACTCTGGAGTACTTTTTGATATCTCAAATGCATCTGGAGATCTGGGAGGCTTCTTGCTGTCTGCTGACATTCAAATAATGGAGGTCTATGGCGCCCGAGACA